CAGTGTTGACTCCTGGCGCCTGCCTGGCTTGCCACTGCCTTCTTCCTAGGACTGAGAGTGACTGGCCCAGGGTCATCCAGCTGGCTTCGTGCCTAAGGCGGGACTGGAACTCCCAGTCTCCCGGTTTCTAGCCTGGTGCCTTCACCACACTGGCTCCAGCTACCAGGATGAGGTTTTCACGCAGGTGAACAGAGAGAGGACTAAAAGCAAGGATGGGTGCCCCAGTGGCTCAGCACTTTAAAAGTTGTTCCTGGTTGCCATTTGCAGGGGATGTGCTCCTGAGAAGGGCATCAGCAGCATGTTTGTCTCCATCTGCTGCTCCAGTGGATCCCTGTTAAGATCAGGCAGAAAAGCACTGAAGTGGGGAAGTGGTTTCCTCCCTAACACAGAGGTGTCCTGTTCAGAGGGGAAACAAGGGGGATTCCCACAGCCCCCCTTAAAAACTCATCTTTTCATGACTGCTGTGACTTGGGGGGAGCTAACACGCTTGACAGGGCTTGAGCCTCGGTGTGGCAAAACAGCTCAGCTTTAAATCAGAAAGCCTTGTATCAGATCCCACTGCCATCACCATTAACCCAGTGGCCTTTGGCAACTGTTTTTGGGCCTCTTCATAAGCAAGAGAGGGATAATAGCAAGCTCTTTGCTGGCAGGATTTGCATTCTGAACTTTGCTTATGGATGGAAGCACTTATAAAAAGAAACATTAAATATTTCTGACTTTTGGAGCAATGATCATGCCAACAGAACATGGCACTGTAAAATATCAAGATATGGAAAGCATTGAGAAGGATTAAGGCTTCTTAAACAACTGCTCTTTTGGATCCTCAACCTATAATGGCAAAAAGATATGCTGGCTACCTTATAGGAATGTGCAGTGTTATTGAGATTCAGTAGTCTATTTGGAGTACAAGGACAGAATAATTCTCAGTATAATTATTACAGCCGAGATAGGCCCAAGTGCAAAGGGGCAGGCTGAGAATACTTAAAAAACTGTGGGTTTAAATACAGAACATGTTTATCTGCTATTTCTCCACCGGGGAGGCAGAGGGAATATCGTGGCCTACCTTGTCAGGTTGTGACGGAGATTGTGAAGATAAGGGGCGGGCAGCACTTTTAACTCCGAGCGCAGCAGAGAAATAGACCTTCCCTTTCCCGACCCCCTTCCGAGAAAAGCTGCCAAGGGAGCGGGGCGGGCTTCTGCCCGGGGAGATGGGTGGGGGAGAGCCCGGCGGCTTTAGGGGCAGAGGAGCGAAGGGCCGCGGGCCGGGCATGGGGCAACCCGCACGCCCCGTCCTCCCGCCGCACCTGAGGACGCGGAACAGCAGGCAGGCCACCAGGCAGGCGCTGGCCGCGCAGGCTCCGATGACGGCGGCCTTGAGCGCCGGCAGGTCGTGCAGCATCGCCAAGACCGGGCTGCGCTGGGTGCCACCGCCGCTGCTATGATTCCCGGCGGAGGCTGGCGGCGGAGGAGAGACGGCGAGTGCCCGGTCGCGGGAGCTGCTGGCGTTCCTGGCGGCGGCGGCAGGGATGGAGGCGGGCGGCGGCGCCAGGGCGAGCAAGGCGGCGGGCAGGAGCGCGAGCAGGAGGCAGGCTCGCTCCGCCGGGCGCATGGTGTCGGGCAGGGAGGCG